AAAGAACTTTATTATATATATATAAATAAATAATATTTGTTTATACACACACACACACACACACACACACACACACACACACTCTATAAGTTTTAAACAAACAAGTGAATACTGTACACAGCAATGATGATTGTGAAGCTTGGTTGAGGCGGTGAAGTCAGAGGGTAGAAGAGGGTGGAATATTTCCCAGGGAATGCCTTACTGCTAAATGATGAACTAGCACTCGGCTGAGCCCTCAAGGGTTAACACGTTGTTAATGTAGCCTCACACTCTACAAGGCAGCAGGAATGGAGGGAGAGGTGAGAGCATCACAGACAGAGACGAAGAGACACACGGTGTGTGGGAGAGAGAGAGAGGCGCATTTCCCCTTTAAGTTTGCTGCCTTGTTAATTAGATCAGCTTGCTGAGACTGCAGCTGCTGCCTGGAAGCTCCCTCGGTCCTGAACCCTGCCGGGTGTCCCCCCTGCTCTATGGCAATGGGGTAAGCAGGGAGCAGGGGGGAGGGGGACACCCGGACAGCCCCCCACTTCTGCCCTCCCTCTGTACAGCAAGCAGGAGTCTCTGGGAACAGCTCCAAGGCAGAGGGCAGGAGCAGCACATGGCAGTGGGGGCAGCTGCGGCACAGGGAGCTTAGGGGAGCTGATGGGGGGCTGCCAGCCCACCCTGGTTCCAAGCCCCCACCAGCTAGCGCCAACGGGCTGCTCTTCCTGCAAGCAGTGGGCAAAGCAGGCGGCTGCCAAAGGAGCATTGTACAACTTTAAACGAGCATGTTCCCTAATTGGTCAGCAACGAAACGACGTTAACCGGGACGACTTTAAGTGAGGAGTTCCCGTAGCTTTGAAAACTCCTGGCGATCGGGGGAGGTCCCGGATGACTGGAAAAAGGCTGGTGTTGCAGGGGGGGCCATGGGGCTTTGTGCTTTTCACACCTTCTGTGGTCCCAAGCGTGTGTCTGCCCCGCAGCAGGGGAGTCACTGGAATCAGTTAACAGAGGTCAGGCCTGGACCAGCTCCTGTTGATGTCGGTGTGAGAGCCTCATTCCTGGAGCTCAGGGGCCCTCCGCCAGCACAGGCTTGTGAGGGGCGGGGCGGTCTGTCCGAGGGCAGGGCCTCCTCCCGAGGGACGCGCCTTCGAGGCAGAGCTCGGGCAGTCTGCTTTGTGCTCACCCCGGGGAGATGGGGCAGGGCGGAGCCTCTTGGCCGAAGCACTCTCTTACTCGAACAAACTGGCCTGCGCCGCTCCAATTCTGTCCCTCTCAGCACGGCCCAGCTCCCCGGCTGGCTCTGGCGTCTGGCCCACAGACCCCGTACAAGCTGGGTCTAGGCGGAGACCTGCCCTGCCGGGGCCTCCAGTGCACACAGACCCGGCCCCCGTCAGTGCAGTAGTAACCCCCAGTTCCCCTTGCAGGGGTCGCGTTCTTCAGCCACCATCCCCCTCCCTGCCTTGAAATCCCTTCGCAAGGGGCAATTTCTCTAGGAGGATTGAAACCTTCAGCCACTTCCGCACGTCCAGCACCAGGGTGTAGAATGGCTGCCACCTCCAAGCCACTCCAGTAGTCCCCCAAGAAGAACATAACGGCCGCACTGGGCCACCCTATCCTGTCGTCCAACAGCCAAGCCCCTGTGCTGTCCCCAGGCCTGACCTTCCTGCCCCCTCCCCTCCTGTGTCAGGCCGTGGCTCTCCCTTGCTGACCCCCCGTTTAGACTGGAGGCTCTCTGGAGCAGGGATTATGTTGCTGGTTTATTCTGGTGCCGGGTGCTGCCTGGTTTGGGCCTGTCTGAGGGGCTGAGCAGAAATGAACACATTTTGGGGTGATTTTTCATGACGTACCTGCCTCTCGTAAGACTGCAACAACCAGGCACAATTAGGGACCCTCTCCCCCAACGCATTGTGTAATGTATGGCCAGCCCGACTTGAAAAATAACAGCAGCGTGTGGGTCCCTTGCCAGGATTACTGGGGGTCTCACTTCTTCCTTTCCCTGCCACTGAGGGCCTCGGACACCGGTGCCCCTCGGGGTTTGCTGCCTGTGGCACACGCCAGCCGGGTCTCCTGCTCTCCTTCCGGGAGCTGGGTTTAGTGAGCGGGCATGGCTGGGGATACACGGAAGCAGAACAGACGATCTGCTGGTCCCGTCTGACCTTACGCTCCGTGGCTGCGAACCTCTGTCCGTGGCTGAGGCTGTCTCCGGTTGGGCAGGGTGGGGGGCAGCTGCGAGCGTTCTCACCTGTTGTCGTCATGCCAATGACCCGGCTTCGTTTCAGCACCCACAGGTCCTCCTGGAAGGTCAGCTCCGCTAGCTGGGCTGCCTTCTTCTCGTACTCCTTCAGCTTCTCCACCAGCGTCTCCTTCAGCTCACGCTCGTAGGCCAGCATCCATCTCCTGGGTGCAGAGTGCAGGGGGTGGAACCAGGACCAGCCCTCCCGCAGTGACTCCCGGGGCTGTGGTAGCCCAGTGGTCAGTGTGTGACACATCCCCCCGGCCCGCTCCACGGAGCGCCGTCCGGCTCAGCCAGGCAGACTCACGTTCCCGCAGGACTCAGAGCGAGGGTGCAGCTCGGGCCGGCTCCGGCCAGGCTTGTCCAGCCGCGTGCGGCAGGGTGCAACTCACAGGCCGTGCCTGGCCCCGCAGAGTGAGTCAGGACCTGGCCCCTGCTCCCCGGGGGCCCCCTCCCACCAAGCAGCAGGCCCGGCACTGGCTGGAGCTGTGTTATTGGCTCCAGCCACCGGCCTGTGCCCAGAGCTCGGGCTCCTTCCACAGACCCGAGGGCAGCCCTGCGTATTAACCTCATCTCCCAGGCGACCTGGGCTGGGCTAGGCTGGCGTGCGTCACCCGCCTCTCCCAGAGGTCCCGGCTCCCCGGGAGCTCGTGAAGGGTCCGGGCAGGACCATGCCGTGGTTTGGAGGGCTCGGGGAGGGAGGGTGCTGCCTGGGGGTGGGGTGGGGAGACCTGTAGAGACACCAGCGATCCCTCAGCCGCAGCTCCCAGACGTCTCTCACGTTCGCGACGTCCTCGTCGGTCATGATGTCACCCTCCTCCAAGCATTTGCGTATCCCTTGGTGTGAGGAGCTGCGGGAGAGACTGGGCAGTGACTGAACAGCGTGGGGAGGGCTTGGGGGGCTGCAGCCTGTGGGCCCTGCTCCATGTGAACCCCAACCTTGGCCATGGGGCACCAGCCGCAGCCAGGGTGACCGCAGCTCCCACACCCGTTCCAATGGCCGTGGGCCCTGCCTCGGCGGGTCTCAGACAGGGGCTGGCAGGGGGATGTGGGATGCCCCGGAGCTGCCATTCCCCGGGGCAATACAGAGACCGTGGCAGCGTCGTCTCCCTTTCAGAGCAGGACGGCCGGGGGCCGGAGCTGGGGGGCCGTGGTGCTGGCGCAGGGCAGAAAGCTGAGGTCTCTGCACAGCAGTGAATGCTGCAGCTTCTTGGCCCTGTGTCCCGGCCCTGCGGGGGCTCCGGAGCTTTGCCACGGCTGCAGGAAGGGGCAGTGATGCCTGTGCTCCCAGAGAGCCTCCCCTCCCCACTGAGGCCCGGCCGTGTTGTCCCGTCTCACAGACACAGGGCGGCATGAGGCTGGCAGAGCTGCCGGGCCTGTGCCCGCACCCTGGCGCTGTGCTGAGCCCAGTAACGGGCACGTGGCATCTGCCCAGGGCCCCAGACTCTACCTGCCCTCGGCGGGGAGGATGTAAGCAAACTTCTCCTCCACTGTGCTCCGCCGCCACTCGGAAGGGTCCAAATCGTCCTCGTCATCCAGGGCCCGCTCATCCCTGTGGCACGGCCAGAGCTCTTCCTCCGCGCCTGGGGGGGCAGGGTGACCCAATGTCCCTATATTTGGGGCTTTTTCTTATACAGGTCCCTGTGACCCCCACCCCCACTCCCATCCGGTCACCCTAGCGGGGTGGGAGCTCCATGGAGCCCCCACTGTGCCTGGCAGACACAGGCCTGTGAGCTCATGGCCAAATCCTGCCCCACCGCTTCAGAGACAGGAGCTGCCCTGGGGAGCGTCAGCAGAGCAGGTCAGCTCTCCCCTCCTGTGACTGGCCTCGGGGCCTGGGGCCTGGCTCTGGCCTCCCACCCCAGGTCTTCAAGGCCCACAGCTCATGCTGGATTAGAGCGGGGGTGTCCTGCCCCCTGCACCCCCCATCACCAGCTGCTCCGCCTGCAGCAGCCCCCTGAAAACCTGGCGGGCAGGTTGCTGCCCCTCCCGCAGCCCTGGCTGGTTCCCCTGCTCAGGCAGGTGTGAGGGCTCATGAGCTTAGCCGGCTATGCCCCTGTGTGCCTGGGCTCTGCACTGCCGGGGGCAGCGCCCGGCCCTTTGCCCAGCCACTCACCTGCCTTCCTGCCCCCGCCCTGAGCCTGGGACGGCTTCTCCTCCTGCGCCACGGGGTAGATCTTCAGCCAGTCGCACATGTCGAAGCGCCCCGCTCTCTGTGGAGGGTCCGACACAGCATGCGCTGAGACGGGGCCCCAGCCGCCCACCCCGGCCGGGCTTGGCCAGGGGAGCCCGGCCCTGGGGAAGGGGCAGCTGGGTTCTGTGTCCTCCCAACCCTCTCCTCACCCAGGAGCAATCCAGGTTGTCATCGCGGATCTCCGCTGCCAGCTCTGTGTCCGTGAGGATCCCTCGGCGGAGGAGCTCCAGCACCGCGGTGCGGTAGGCGATGCTCTCCTTCTGCTTCTGCAAGGCCTTCCGCATCTGGGGGGGAAACAGAGCATGGGGCAGCCTCCCGGTTCGGGGCACAGGGCAGGGCGGGGGAGGGAGAGCCGTGCTCCGGGGGTGGGGCCTCACCCAGCTATGGCCCTCCCGCCCAGCCCCCAGAGCACACCCTATCACCTGGCTCTCGCTCCCCCACACCGCTGTCCCCGGGGCATGCAATGGTGCTCCCCCCAGAGCACTGCTGGGGCCGCAGTGTGAGCGCTGCCCCGTGCCCACGCTCTAGCTACATACCCAGCCATACTGGTGCTTCTCCGCGGCCCCCAGGAGCGCTGGCAGCTGCTGTTGGCGAAGGTTCCTCAAGGAGCACGCTGCCACCTTGTCGCTTCTGCTCCTTCCCCCAATGCGCACCACGCCGGAGGGCTGGAACTGCAGGATCCCTGCATGGAGGGCAAGAGGCAGGGCTGGATGCACTGACCACACGGACCCTGGCCTGGCCTGATGCTGCTAGTCAGCTCAGCTGGGAACTCATGGGGCAGCGATGCGGGACGTGAACCCTGCAGGACAGCGAACCTCTTCCCACCACTCGCAAGCGCTGGAGGTCACGTCAGCCCCGTGGGGGGCTGGAGGTGGAGCCTGGCCGCAGCCCAGCCCGTGTCCCACAGGCACAGGGGGGATTGCTCAGGGCTCGAAGCAGGGGACTGTATGGTGCATTGTGCAGGGAGAGGCAGCGATCGTGCTGACGTGAGATGTCCGGCAGTGCTCAGGCCTCCCTGGTGAGGCTGATAATACAGCTCCAGCCAGCGGTACCCGGAGCTCGGCGCCAGCGACGGGGCCCAGCCCTACCCAGAGCTCAGCGCCCACGACGGCGCCAGACCGCTCCAAGGGCAGGGCAGAGGGACGGCCGTATTGAGCTGTGCAGCTGTGACAGGGTTTGCTGGGGGAACAGCTGCAATCTTGCCTTGCCAGAGGCTGGCAGCCGAGGGGCGTCCCAACGGGCTGCGTGAGGCTCCCTGGAAGCCCAGGGACTGGGGGCAAATGCCAAGAGCCTGGTAGTCCCAGGTACCTTCCATAAATTGGTCCAGAGCATGGTTTGTGTAGCAGACGACCAGGAAGGGTCTCTGGTCCTTCCACCACTGAGACTGATTCCTCAACAGGATCTCCACGATCTGCAGCCCAATGAAGGTTTTGCCTGGAAGGAAACGGCCCGAGGTGACTGGTGGGGCAGGGCCCAGGAACAATTCGGTCACTGACCAGGTCACAGGCCCTGCTGCTACAGCGGGGAGGCCCAGCGAAGATGCTCTCGGGGCTGCTGTTAACACCACAAAGGCAGCATCTCCAGCAATGCAGGGGCGAGAGCGTCTCCTTTGCGCACAAGCCCCATTGGGGTGGGCTCAGCCCCTCCTGCGGCTGGGCCAGGGAGGATAAAACCCACCTGGGGGCCAGGTTCGCTGGCGATCGTGCAGCCCTGGCAGGCAGGGTGAGGAGCAGGGGTCGCTCAAGCCGCAGGGCAGCCCAGAGCCATTGCAGTGGTGGGCAGGGAAGCAGAGCACGTACCTGTCCCAGGTGGGCCCTGAATCAGCACAAATTCCCTGGTCAGGGCCATTCGAATGGCCAAGATCTGAGACTCATCTAAGTGAGGAAATGTCTCTGGAGACCACATATAGGTGTCGCAAGGTCTCACGGCCGTCAGGTCCACCGCGGTCACGTGCCCCTGAAAGCCAAGAGCCAGGCATGTTCTCAACTGCCTCCTAGGAGCCCTCCATGGTGCAGGTGTGGAGACGCGTGCGCTGCTGCCCTCTCCTGGAAGGACTCCCACATGTGCAGGTGTTTCTGAGTGTGCGTCTACACTGGAGCGGGGAAGGGAGGGGGGTGTAATTCTGGTTCAGGTGCCAGTTCTGAGCGAGCTACGCACCAAAATAGGAGGGTAGCCATGGCAACACAAGCAGCGGCAGGGGCTCGCCGCCCCGCGAACAGTCCCACTGGAGCAGCGGCAGGGGCTGCGTTTGGGCCACTGCTGGCCCATTCGGGACAGGGACGGGGGTGGGATCTGCTACAGGAGACGGATCACCCGCTAGGCCCAGTTCAGTCCCTCTTTGCTGCGGTGCCAGTGTGGGAGCGGAGCTCCGGGACTCAGATCACACACCTGGCTCTGGGGGGACCGCAGGACCAGGGGAGAGCAAGGCAGGCTCCCCCGCTACCCCAGACCTACCTCAGATGTGTCCCCCATGGGCTCTTTGTCCGCTCGCCCAGTGGGTTGCAGAACAGAGAGGTCAAAGGTCACGTCCTCTCCAAAGTGCGCGGGTGGGGCGACGGGGGTGCGGCACTGCACGACGTAGCTCTGGAACGGCACCCGGGCGGGGTCCAGCTCCTGCAGCCCCTCCAGCACGTGCCGGTAGGACTCGAAGAAGGCCGGCGACTCCACCATGATGAAGTTGGTTTTCCCCAGGTGCCTCGTCAGGAGATCGCTGTGGTTTGCCTTAATGTCCAACCACACGGCCCCCTTCAGGAGCTGAGGCCTGTTGCCCCCCACCACGGTCCCAAACAACACCTGGCCACAGTCGCTGGAGATGAGGCAGGTCAGGGAGCCGCTCAGCAGCCGTTTGGAGGAGGCGTGGGCGGAGCCCTGCGGGGCCTGGAACCTGGCCATGTACATGGCACCAGCTGGGGAGGTGCCCACCTTCACCAGCTGCACGTTCCTATAGAGCCGCAGCGCCCCCCTCTGCTTCCCAGCGCCCCCGAACACGTTCTGCAGGGAGAAGTGAGCCGAGATCCCGGCCCTCAGGGGCCGGACGAAATCCTCCCGCAGCAGGCGGAAGTGCGTGTCCAGGTAGGCCGCGTCGCTCGCGTACTTCCCAACGGGGAGGTTGCGCTTCAGCTTCTGCCCAGGGTCCACAAATATCTCCTCCGGGGTTGGGAAGATGGGGATGGCGTGGAAATCCTCCCGGCAGGCTGGCGAGGCGAGGGGCGCACTGCACCGCGGGAAGGCCGAGTCCACCAGGCTCTTGGTGTCGTGAAGCCGTTTCTGGATGATCCATGTAAACTGAAAGCCGCGGCTCTGGAGTCTCTGGACGGTGGCGAAGAGAAGGTCCACAGGGTAGCAGAGGAGGGTCTTTGTCTGCTCGGGGGACGCCGTCAGCAGATGGTGCAGGGCAGCCACCGTGTCCTCCATCACCTCCTGGGAGATCTGCCCATCCTGGTGCTGGAAGCTCTCCAGCTCGGCAATGAAACCCAGCAGACTCCTAAGCACGAAAGCTGGTCTCAGCGCCAGAGCCAGGACCGGCTGGACCTGCTCCGGCTCACCAGCGCACTCCACCGCCACCTTCAGGGCCCGCAGCAGCGTATACACCCTGGCGGGGCTCAGGCCGGGGCTCTCCACGACCTGCTCCAGCTGGTAGTCGTGGTCCAGCAGGAAGGGTAGGAGTTGCTGGGGGCTGTGGTCACAGAGCTTTCCCAAGTCAGTGAGGATGGCGCAAGGATCCGTCCTCCAGCTGGGCCCTGGCTCCGGGGAGAGCCGGGCAGTTTTCGGTGGCACCAGCTCCCAGGCGCTGTCAGGCCAGTCCGGCCACATCCTCTTCTGGCCAGACATTTCTCCGCAGGGCAGGAGCTGCTCAGAGACAAGAGGAATCGACGCTGCAGAACAAGCCCCCAGCCCCACCCTGCCTGGTCACGGGGGCATCCGCACCAGCTCCAGAGAACGGAACTGGACGCATAGAGCCGCCTCGTTAACACCATGCTAATGACCTTGCCCCATGACTCCAAAGTGGGGGAGCTGCAAACCCTGCTGAGCTCAGAGAACCGGGGCAGGAGGGGCGTCCCGGACACTGGAGCGAAAGCCGCCGGGTGCGGTGAACGAGGACGTGCACGGAAGGCGGACGCTGTGCAGGATGTGGGAAACGAGAGATGAGCCCACCTGTGTCTGCCTGTCACTGGCTGCTGGGGGCTGGACAGGCGCTGCCCCGGGCGGGGGCCACGTATCCCAGAATTGCCCACGGGCAGCCCCTTGCACTGTGCTCTGTGGGCGCTGGTTGGACACAGCACGGGGTGGACGGGCCAGGGACTCGGGGTTCTTCTGTTCAGCATGGCCAAGTGCTGCCCAGTGGGCGTCGCTGGCGTAAACGTGCGGAGGGTGTGGGCATCACGGAGGGGACGGCGTTCGGGGGAGGCAGGGGAGAGGGGAGGGGGCTGGTGAGCGGGTCCCCTGGGGAGTCTCCCAGCCGGGAGACGTGGTGATAATATTGCACGTCTGCCCGAGGGGCCCACAAGCACCTTCCACCTGTCCGAGGGGGTGGCTCAGCCCGGAGGGGCAGGGGGGAGATTTGGGCCAGACAGCTCCTGGGAGCTCTTTGGAGCCTGGCACAGCAGGCAGGAGCCGGCCCAAGGCACTGCTGGGACACTGAGCAAAGGCAGGAGCTTGTCGGCTGCATGGCGAGGCAGGGCCTGCCCTCAGCAGCTCAGGGGCGTCTCTGGGCCCCGCCTGCGTCTCCCTGGGAGAGACCTGCCCATGGGACGTGGGGGGGGCACCCATGGCACAAAGGGTAATGACCGATGGGGGCCTGGCCTCCAGCTGCTCTCTGCAGGGGACCCTGAGTGTGGCCAAGCAAGGCCCTGCCTGCCTCTCAGACAGATTTACAGCTCCTGCCCAGCGCAGCCCCGATGGGAGGTGGCACCAGCCCTGCACCCTGGTATCACCTCTATGTGGCCAGGACTGTCACGCCCTGGGCACGGGGCCAACCGCACTGGTTTGAGTCATCCTGGGTGTGTGCCAGCCTCTGTGCCCCAACCTGTGTGTGTGCCCCGGCCTGCGTGTGTGCCAGCCTGTGTGTGTGCCAGCCTCTGTGCCCCAACCTGCGTGTGCGCCAGCCTGTGTGTGCGCCAGCCTGTGTGTACCCTGGCCTGTGTGTGTGCCAGCCTGCGTGTGCCAACCTGTGTGTGGTCCAGCCTGTGTGTGCCCCGGCCTGTGTGTGCCCCCGGCCCCTCTCGCTCAGACAGTGCCTGTGTCCGGGGAACCACCGCTCTCCGTCTCCTGGTGGCTGCAGTTTTTGGCTCTCCCCTCCCCGCTTTGCTGAGTCCCTTTCCGGCGGCCTGTCAGGGCATCCGAGAGCTGGTCCGGTTCAAGGCTGGACCAGTGGAGCAATACCTGGTTCCCGGCTTTGCGGACGCCCTGGGGGCTGCTGGGTGCATTGACCAGACTCCTGGGAACCCTCCGGTTCTTGACCTCGGGCCAACAGCCCTGCAAGCATCACAGCCAAACTGGGCAGCGGCTGTGCAGGCCATGCCCTCCGCCTGGCACTGCCGGGGAGCTGCCCGCCCCATACAGGCCCCAGGGCGGGGCTTGGGGGCTGTAGCTGGGGCGGAGCTAAGGTGGAGCTAAGTTCTGCAGCTGGGTGCAGGTGAGATGAGGTGTCTGGGCCGCTGTTCCCCTGGGGTCTCCTGGGGCCAGGTACCTGGCTCAGCGCCCAGCACCCCTGCGCCCGCTCTAGGCTGGGAGGGTTCGCAGGCGTCAGCGGCGAGCGAAACCTCCCCAAAGCTTTTACTGCGGGGAGCTTAGTTACACTCCCAGGAGGGAGGAGTGTGTACGTGTGTGGGTGTGAGCGGCTGCACGCGACTGTGTGTATGTGTGTGGGTGTGAGCGGCTGCACGCGACTGTGTGTATGTGTGTGGGTGTGAGCGGCTGCACACGACTGTGTGTATGTGTGCATGTGTGGGTCTGAAATCAATGGGCAGCAGGTTTAAAACAAATAAAAGGAAGTTCTTCTTCACACAGTGCACAGTCAACCTGTGGAACTCCTTGCCTAAGGAGGTTGTGAAGGCTAGGACTATAACAGGGTTTAAAAGAGAACTAGATAAATTCATGGTGGTTAAGTCCATTAATGGCTATTAGCCAGGACGGGTAAGGAATGGTGTCCCTAGCCCCTGTCTGTCAGAGGGTGGAGATGGATGGCAGGAGAGAGATCACTTGATCATTACCTGTTAGGTTCACTCCCTCTGGGGCACCTGGCATTGGCCACTGTTGGCAGACAGGATACTGGGCTAGATGGACCTTTGGTCTGACCCAGTGTGGCCGTTCTTATGTTCTTATGCCACACATCAGCGTGTGCTTATACATGTGCATCTGTGTGGGGGTGTAGCTGCGTGCACATGTGTGTGTCTGCCTGTGTCTGCATGTACATGTGTGTCTGTGTATATGTGTGTCTGTGTGTGCACATGGGTGTTTTTCTGCATGTGTCCATGTGCATGTGTATGTCTGCCCATGTCTGCATGTACATGTGTGGATGTGTGTGTGTGTGCACATGGGTGTGTTTCTGCCTGTGTACGGGTGGATGTGGAGGGGGGGTGAGCTAGGCTCACGGGGTTGGGACTGGCTGGATTACAGCCCTGTTTTGAGGTCGTGCTGAAGGGTGGGGGGGGGCTACCAGGGCA